AGTGATTGCGCCGAATCGAACAATCCGTCATACAAAATATTCTTTAATACAAATATGGCGCCGGCATTCACACTCATCAGTTGACGAACAGTTTGCCAGCTGTCAGATAGTTGATAGTTCTGTGACCAAACAGGACCGGTTCGGTACCGTGACTGCGACGTGACTGATGTGTCTGAATCGACCTTAATTCACATTTTCCGCGCCCTAATGCTTGATTGTAATTGGTCCAATAGCAACCAAGTTTACTCCACTAAATTATGACATATTGACACTAATGACATTTGTGAAATTTTAAAATTCAAAATTTATATCGACGATTTTTTGTATTTTCTGCGTTATTCCTTACATTTTTAGATTTTTCGTTTGCATTTATATAAAAAGCAGTTCTTTTCAGAACTATTTAGCAACAAATTACTGTCATTAAGATAACAATATGGATTCAATGCCAAGTACTATATAGTGGTAATTATATATGATGATTGACTTATTGTCTATGGGTACTATGAATGTCTTACCATAGTTATTTTTTAGGTGAAATTATTCAAAGAATGGTTTATACATTGGGCTGCTGACCAAAAATAAAACTTTCTTACTCAAATATCTAAAATAGATTCAGTTTTTGCTAAAAAACTAAATAAAGAAATTCAAAATGGTGTAGTTGTGCATGAACCTCACCAACACATAAATGGAGAGGATATTTTGGAAGACTAATTATTAAATTTTTATTTTTACATACATCCCGAATATATATTTTGCACTGAATATTATTTTCCTGTAATATATAAATCGATTTCTGACTCTTCAAGTTGTTTGTAATAACTTAGACTTGGTGATATGCGAATAGTATTTAATGTGATATTTTTCTAGATGATATTTATACTAAATATAGTTTAAAGTGTTTATAAATGTATGTTATTTATATCTAATTATCCTAAGAAAAACGGCAAGTATCTTTTAATTTTATTGTGTACTTGTTAAGAAGCATTTTCATTTTGTTTTCATCACAATAAAAGAACATTATTAAAGTAATGTTGTGTGTTAGTTTGATTGTATTGATACCGTTGGTTTTGTTCTTCCTGATTGTAGATCATCACAAGAAAATTGCAAAATTATGCTAGAATGTAATATAATAGATCGAATTTGTTGATTATCTCACAGAAAATCAGTATTTTTTAGTAAATTTTATTTATTGATAACAAATGGGACAAACTCACTGTCAAAATTAAACAAGAATCCAGCATTAAAGAAATTGTAAGTACACACTTATTTATACAAAGTATCTTTTTGAATTTTAGTGCTTAAAAATAATGATCAAAGTCAAAGTTAACTCTTCTGGTAAAAAAAAACTAGATTCAAGAAATTGGTCACACTAGAATAAGAATATGGTATACGCAGTTTAAAAGAACAGTATTTCAGAAATCTTTGAACTCTCTCTAACTTTTTGATACATGCATTTGTATAGCTTTGTTGCATATAAGATCTATTTGCAAATTAAAAGACAAATTTTTGTGAAAACCCATACTTAGATCTGTAACATTATTGACTCTCCGGATCAAAATATTCTCTAAATTATAATTAAATACCATACACTCAAGAAATCTATAAACCAGGATCACACGATATTTAAACAAAAAACGTCATTTTTTATTGTAATAATTGTAATATATATTGGAAGTGAATTGAAAAAACTATTACTCAATCACAAATAAACAAAGTTATTTTAAAATTGACGTGTAAGATTGTCCGATATTGATTACTCGATTACCGCAAGGCCGAGATAATCAACAAACAAAAAAGATGTATTTGGTGACTTTTCTAGTAACTTTCTTGGGTGTGAATCTGCCTTTTTGGTTTACTCCTTCTGGTTAAAAAACAGAGTGTAGTATTACAATGGACGTTTTTATACTTCTCTTTTACTTCATTTATTGCATTTTGAAAACTGAAGTTTTATCGACCACGTGACCTTTCCATTGGAGATTGTTTGGTAACAGTTGGTTACTTCGTAGAATCTTTTGAGGATAAGAAAATAATCAATCTGAATATACCTAATTAATACAATTAGTAGCATTAAGAAATAATCATTGTGGTTGAACAAAAAAGAATGTCTTTTAGAAGCATTCATTTCTAAGGCTTTCAATTATTAGAAAAATATTCGCATCATATATTTTGAATATTATTCTGGTAGTAGGTTCAATAAAGTCATGTTAGATTTTTTTTAACTTGACACTATCGTCTTCTTTCTGTTGTATTGTCAGATGTTTCTATTGTAGCCGAATAAACGTGCGATTTGGTACCTTCGTTAAAAGTATGTTTCCATTTTTTTTTATTTAGATCCAGAACACAGACCTTGTTAAAAATGTTTGAGCATGTATTTGACACCGTCAGAAACTAAAAATGTAGCTTAGATTTTACTTGACAGTTCTATCTGCCAGTTGACTAGTAGATTTGATTGGTTTGTCACTTTAGTGTATATTATTGTAGCACCACAGTCGGCACCGTTGAACACATTTTAAAGTATTTCAAAAATAATAATCTCCTTCTTCTTCAGGTGCCATCTCCGCTACGGAGGTTGGCAATCATCATAGCTATTTTAATTGTTTTGCGGCAGTAGCTCTAAATATAGTTGTTTTGAGCTGCATCTAAACCATTCTCCCAGGTTCTTAAGCAATGAAATTCGTCTTCTTCCAATGCTTCTTCTGCCATATATCTTTCCTTGCATTACGAGTCGCAGGATGCCATACTTCTCGCCCCGCATCACATGTCGGAGACACTGTAGCTTTATTTCTTTAATTGTAAGTTCAATTTTCTTCTCTTTACCTATTCTTCTCAGTACTTCATTGTTCGTAACTCTATGTACTCATGAAACCCTCATAATTCTTCTATAGGTGCACATTTCAAAGGTTAATTACTATTTATAACTGGGAATAAGCCACAATTAAAGATAAAAAATACGTTTATTGACGTTTCAATTTCCAATTCGGAAATCGTTCTCAAAATACAAACAGTAAATTAAACAAATTTTGTTTAATTTACTGTTTGTATTTTGAGAACGATTTCCGAATTGGAAATTAAAACGTCAATAAACGTATTTTTTATCTTTAATTGTGGCTTATTCCCAGTTATAAATAGTAATTAATTTACAATGCCACAAGAAAATAGCTTCAGAACAACATTTCAAAGGTGTTAAGTCGTCTCATTGTGTCTAGATTTACCGTCCATGATTCCACTCCATAGTATAGTACACTGTATACGTAACATTTTTTTAGGCGTACTTTAAGGAGCTAATGTTAAATCTTTGCCACATGGGACCTTTTTCATTTTCATAAAATTAGAACGTGCCTTTTCGATTCTGACTTTGATTTTTGCAGTGTAGTCATTATTTTCTGTTATAAGTGTTCCTAGGTAAGTATACTTTCTTATTCTTTCGATCTGCTGGCCCTCTACTATCAAGATTTCGTTAGTATTATAGTTGTTTTTACAACTGATCCTTGAAGGCAGAATAGAGGGCCGTAGAGATGTAGGAAGAAAACAAATTTCTTGGTTAAAAAACATTCGTGAATGGACTCAGATGCCAAATGCAGGACAATTATTCCATATTGCAGAAGATCTAGAAGCCTTCGCAATGGTGATCTCCAACGTCGGATAGTTCTGATATGGCACGCGAAGAAGAAGATGGTTGTTTTTACAAATTTTCATAAACTTCGTCTTTTTGATATTGAGCGAGAGTCCGTACTTTATACTACACATTACTATTTTACTTATGAGTCTTTTCGGGTGATTCAGGTCTTGTAAACTATCGGCTATTATTACTGTATCATCTGCATATTTGATGTTGTTAACTAAGACTCCATTTACTCGTACGCCGACTGTTTCATCTTCCAGTTTCTCGAATGGTCTCTTCAGAATAAGCGTTAAATAATAGAGGTGTGTCGGTCAGATAGCTCAGCGGGCTGTGCGGCTGCCTCTCATTCGCTTCACTGTCGAATGGTTTAGTGGATGTGGGATCGAGCCCAAGCTCGGTGTACAGAAAACAAAAAGTCTAACGCAGCAGTTTAAAATTCTAGATGAATCTGCGGCTTAGACTAGGATATGCTGGGATCTGATCGGCCTATGGTGGAGCAGTACGGCAAGAGATAAGGGCTTGCGGCTTGGTGATACTCCTCCATAGATCCCTACCGGACAGGCGTAACGCCTAAAAAACCGGATATATATATATATATATATATATATATATATATATATATATATATATATATATATATATATATATATATATATAATAGAGGTGTTAGTATGCAGCCTTGCCGGACTCCTCTCTTTATTTCCATTTCTTCAGATGTCTCTTTTTCAATTCTTACTATTGCTCGCTGATTGTAATAAAGGTTTGTTATTAGCCTTAAATCTCTTTCATCTAGCTTTTTTTTAGAATTTTCATGAGTCTGTCATGTTTAACTTTATCAAACGCTTTATTGTAGTCTATAAAACAGAATAAAGAGGACGGTTAAAATCCAAACATCTCTGTGTCAGCACGTTGAAGGAGAAGAATGCCTCTCTGGTACCCATACCATTGCGGAATCCATATTGTGTGTCACTAATATCCAGCTCCAGTTTAGAGTGAATTCTGGCGTGGATAATTTTCAACAGAATTTTCAAGGTATGTGACATTAAGCTTATGGTTCGATAGTCACTTCACTCTTTGGCATTCACTTTTTTTGGCAAACAGACAAATGCTGATGTCAACATTTCTTTAGGGATGATTCCCGTAGTATAGATAGCGTTGAACATTTCTACTATTATGTCCAGGTTTTTCTCGTTGACCAACTTTAATAGCTCGCTTGGTAATTCATCTGGCTCTGAAATAACAATCACAGACTCTCTATTTGTTGCAGTCTTGATTTTATAATCCCCGAATAGACTTTGCTCATTTTTATTTCGATCCAAATCCTCCTTTTTTTATGACATGCCCGTTAAGAATTTTAGGATATTTAAAAAATACACTTACAAAATTGATTTTATTTAAATATTCTAATACAAACATAAAAACTTGACTAATTAACGTTATAAAAAAATAAACACTTTTTACATCTCTAATGCATTATCTTACACCCATGGACACCATCCCCTCCACATTCGTCCTAATAAATTGCTATCAGTAGCATGATCTATTAAACAATCTACCTGATCCTCAACAGTTAAACCTTCTTTTCCAACAAACTTTGTCCGGAAATTTTCATTTGTCTCTCCCAAAACTAGTTTCACATACGCATCGGTATATTGCTGGTTTCTCATCCCAGCCTTTAACTCCTCTACCATGATGTCAACGCAGTTTGCACCATTAAGTTTTCGTTTGGCTTGTTCCAGCTTCACTAACGGGTACCACGTGCTACTCTGGCAGTCGTCGCCGGCTTCGGCATGTTCTAGCCAATCTAGGGACGGCTCTTGTATAAAGACGTTCATAGTCGCCAACAGAGATGAACTGTTAGCTCTTAAGCACTTCAAACAATGTATCATGTATTCCCTGAAAGGGCCTCTCTCCTTTAGCGGCTCCATGAGACTGACTATGTGAGGTGTCAGTCGGAATGGTACTAGTTCGGGTACTGGCAGTATTTGGGTGGCGGTACCGAAGGAGTGGCCAAAGTCGATGCCCAGGACCTTACCGTTTCTTAGACATATCGAGCTGTTTTCCAAATGGCGGTCACCGATGCCCAAGATCCAGTGAGCTGCGCACATTACTGAGTACGTCTTTATGAAGTTGTTGCGTAAGGCTATGTAGTTTTCGGTACTGGTACTTAAAATCCAAAACGAAGTCCTAAAAACAAGTATCATATTATAATAGTATAAAAACATTTTTCATATTTTTTTAAAACATTTAATAAATGTGTGATTATGCGTTTTGTAAAGTCAACCTTATTTGTTTAAAGATATAAAAAAAGAAAGAAATAAAGATTATTTAGATTGTGTTTTTTAGGTTTTAGTTCTAAATGTTAATAAAATTTATGTAAGTAGTGTTTTCTTTACTTTTATTTGTTTTAAATGTCCATAAAAACTTATTATATTTAAAATGTTGTACAATCTTTAATAACGAGAGATCAAAATCGTTGAGAAAAGATAATTATCTCGCAATATTAATAAGATGTAGCATTTATTTCTAATAAATTCCACAGGGTGTTGCAAAATTTGATGAAAAATTTTAATTTTATTTTTACACCACGTATTTGGGTACAAAATTGACATTTTTCAGAACAAATTGGTACTGTAATTCTTTAAAAATAAACCTATAATGTGAAAAAAAAACATTAAAATCCAATCAACGGTTCAGAAGAAAAATTTATTGAAACTTATGGTACATTTAAGGTGGTGGTACATAACCTCAAAATGTTCATTCTATCAAGATATCTCACAAAAAAAATGTTATTTTCATGCAAAAAGCTTTAAAAAAACACACAAAGACAAAAAAAAACATTTTTTGGTACAAAAAATGAAAATTTCCAGATGAAACATAAAGTCAAGTTTTATATAGAAAAGATTTCAAGATCTCTCATCAGAATTCTGACGTAGAAATGAGAACTAGATAAGAAGATGGAAAAACTGTATAACAGATTACTTGAGAGAGAGGTGAAGATTGCAAAAACTGTTTACTGTTGTATGGAGTTGAGGGCTGGACGTTAAACCATGTCACGTCTGGATTCTTTTGAGATGTGGTTTTACCGGTGCTTATTAAAAATACCATAGATCGAAAGAGTATTAAATTATCGAGTATTGGAAAGAATTAATAAAGATAATGACCTATTGACAAAAGTTAAGAAGCTAGAGAAGAATTCCAGTTGATGGCAGACAATCTAAAATGAGGAGAGGGCACATGAAGAAGAAGATGAAGAAAATGACGTATAGACAAGAATAACTAAACATTATTTACCTCATGATATCCCATGGAATCTTCTTAACCAAGCTGTTATAATTATGGACAACTCTATCCTTTCTAATCGCTACAGCAGCTTTTCCGTAGATGTGAAAAGGGTTGCCCTTGGTGCCTTTTGATATGAAGTGATCATATTCTTCCCTAATCTTTTTTGAAAAATCGCCTAGTTGTGATTGAGTTGTCAGTGCTTTTATTACGAAATTTCTTAACGATTGAATATCGTTAACCCATTGGATTAGACCCAAATTGGAATTTAATGGAATTACCTAAAAAACAGCCTCTTAGAAGTCACCAATCTAGCCATTGATGAAACGATTATATAGATATTTTCATCATAATTTATTTTGTGCGCATGCGTCAGTATCAGTCATTTTTTTCATTCTGTTTTTGTAAACAAGCATGTTAAAGTATAATATTTAGGCAGTTGAAACATTTCACTCCGACGAGATTTATAAGGACAGTTCAATATAACATTTACCGGTAATTAAGTTAAATTATAAATTACATTGTTATACAGGGTTACGCAATTGAACTGTTACCTATTCAAACGACCATAATTTTTTTGTGTGAAATTATTTTTTATTTATTTAAATGACAAAAATGTGTGAAAATAATCAAAATTTCCAGAATTCACTCACTTTAGCCCGATATGGCCACCTTTTGCCTTGACTATGGCCTTCAAACGATCAAAAAACGAGTTGCATGCTGCACGAATGTGATCGTCCGATATTTTGGGCCATTCACGTATAATTGCTTTCTACAGCGCATCCATACTGGCATATTTTTTAGTCCTCACCTTACTCTCCAAACTGGGCCAGATGGAATAGTCCATCGGATTTGCGTCTGGCGAATTCGAAACCCATTGTGTGGATGAAATGTTCTTCAACCGAAATGTTTGCATGCCCACGGCTCTAAAGCAGCTTCTAAAACATTTTCCCGATAATCAGTTGCATTGACTTTGACACCAGATTCAATAAAAACGATTGGAGAGCGTCCATCGGCGGTTACAGCTACGTTACCATTACTTGAGATGGGAAATTACTTCGGGTGGCCGTTCGTAAGCTCAAACTTTCGTAGGTGCGTTCGGTCACGTAAACACGATCATTTTGTGAGTTTATGAACTGCTCAATAGGGAAATTTTTCTCATCAGAGCACACTATGTTCGGAAATTCGCCACGTTCGTGCAGGCGTAACAACTCCTTTGCTCTTTCAAGCCGAACTTTTTTTTGTTTTGGTGTAAGACTGTGTGCTTGTTGGAACTTGTAAGGCTTGACCTTGAGCTCCTTTTTCAATATTCGTTGTATGCTTCGCTGGGATATTTTCAGTTCTTTGGCCATTTGATTACCACTACAACGTGAATTTCGCTCAAGTCAAGCCTTCACTTTCCGAAGGTGATATTGCTGTTTTTTTCGTCCACCACCATAGCGTTTGGCAATGCTACCAGTATCACTATAACGAGTTATGGTGCGATACACAAACATTTTATTCGCTTTGACGTGTTTGAGATGACGAACAATAGATGGTTATGATTTTCCATCCAAATATAACGCAGTCACACTATTACGTTTAAATTCCATTGTGAATAACTTTCGTTGTATGTATAAAACTTAGTTGTAAATGCTTTTGACGGCTTATAAACAATATACTGAAGTATTATCAGGCCAACTTTGACGTAGCTGTCATTATCGATTTGCCAGCTATATCGATATACAGCGTAACCCTGTATTTGAACAATCCCCGTACTTCGTAAGAGAGAGACGGAACAAACAGAGAATGAAAGGTACATCCCATCAAATAAATACTGAACATAGATATTTTATTCAAAATCGCCAATATTTTATATTCTACTTGGAAGTTCGCTACCACCGGCGAGGGTGTACAGATAAGAAACGCTGTTGACTCATGCCAGTGCTGTCATTAGTAATGTCAATGTGGCCTTTTGGCGACCATTTGAAAATAAGTATAAAATAAAAAATTAACATTGAATCGAATTGTGTTGAGAGTAGTTTAAAATTTAAAAACAAAGTCCTACATGTACAGTATCAACGTATTTTGCTGAAAATATATGATAGCTTACAAAAAGAAAATGAACAAAACTCTGACAGAACTATTATAAATAAAATAAGTTAACTTACAAAACTGGATTTAATAATAAATACCAACAAAACGAAGTATATGAAAATAAGCACGCAACCACAAATCCTACGATCACTTGTTATAGAAAACGATGTCATTGAAGCTGTGTGAAACGAATTTATATACCTGGGAGCGCTCCTTAACACTGAAAATAATATTACCGAAGAGATAAACCGCAGAATTTGCACGGCCAACAGATGCTATCTTTACTGAATATCTTCCTTAAATCCACAATTATATAGAGGAATACAAAAATAAAACTCTACAAAACAAGAATACGCCCAGTCCTAACATATGAACAGAGACAAAAGTCCTAACAAAAAGTAATAAAAACATGTTAGGATGTTTTGAAAGAAAAGTAATAAGGCGAATCTATGGAGCAGTGAACGACAATGGAGTGTGGAGAGGACGAATTTCGATCTTTATAGAATATACCAGAAACCTGATATCGTAAAACATATTAAGATATGACGTCTGAGGTGAATAGGACATGTAATGCGGATGAAACAAAATGACCCGGCTAGAAAAACGCTCTTTGATAGACCCATTGGTCAAAGAAGAAGAGAATGATTCAGAACAGTGTTCTTTGATAACATCGATTAAGACATGGACCCATGTTTAGTAATATGATATATTCTTTTAATGTTTGCCGGCAATCAGTTTTTTTGGATGTTTCAACTAACTTTATAAATACTATACCTATGAAAACACAATTAAGATAAAAAAGGCTAATTAAAGTAAAGTAAGTACAATTATGGTCTTCAACGGAATTATATTTTGTATTAATTCGATTTTTCATAATGATTGATTTAATTTTGGAGGTTTTACTGCATTCTCAGCCATCGCTGGTCAAAATAGTACAAAATTATTGTATTGCCGCTAACCTAACCTAACCTAACCCTCTTATTTATGATTGCCGCTGTTTCAACATGGGAACTGCGTTTGCGCTCATCATATTATTGGCTCTTGTTAGTTATTTATTGTCACTAAATGAACTGCGCGACGAAATTCCACGTTAATTGGCGTTTTTTGTATTTATCATGTTCATTTGAAGATCGTAAATGTTATACCTATAATACAGAAATATTTTTCTGCTGTTATATAATACAAAAATAAAAAAAATGACCAAATTACATACCTGGTAAGTTAGAATATCTAATCCGTTATTAGAACAAGAAGTGTCGTTTCTTAAAATGTTGTTCATAAGACCAAAAAGTTGTTGTATTCGTTGATCTTGCCTTATATCTTCTCCAAACTTGATCAAGAATGGATATTCTTTGGTGTTCATACCAATCATTCTAATTTTTATGGGTTTTCGCAGAGATGACATTACAGCAATCTAAAAAATAATTGTTTTTTAGTTTAATATGCTTGTGTGACGCCGCTGCTAGAAAAATTAAACACCGTAAATAAAAAAAACTACCACAAGTATCGAAAGGAATAAAAAGCTTCTTATCTTTAGTTTGACGAAAAAGATGCGATTGTCGTCGAATTAAATAAAATATAACTCACCTCTGGATGAAAGCCTGATATCTTCACGTGATGCTGAGGCACCGGTAGCTTCTGTCCATCGTACTGACCGGGTATTTCTAATTCCATGTTAAGTTTGTTGGCCGAAAAGTTCGCTAACCAGGGACAATATTCTTTTAATAATAATGAGGGTTCGTCGTTCGATATTTTGTCCGATTCTGATAATATCATTTGGGCATAAGTTTTGATCTCATTAATTGGCATGTCTGAAATTTTAATTATATTGTAAACAACTGGGCTGCCCAAAATTAGAATTTGTATTAAAATTTATTAATTAAATCGATCACAGATCTCTATTTCCGTGCAGAAGAGACCGCTTCCGCATATGGACAGCACCACGTCGGTCGGAGGAATTCCTCATTGACACCGGGCTTAGACAAGGAGATCCTCTCGCCCCCCTGCTATTTAATTTTGCACTGGAACATGCGGTAAGGAAAGCTCAACCACATCCGACAAACGGATTTGCCGCCCAAGGATCAAAAATACTATTGGCGTTTGCGGATGACGTGGACACAATTGCACAATCCACCAAAGATGCAAATGAAGTTTTCACCCTATTCGAAAACAAAGCCAAGGAAGTTGGTCTGAAGCTCAACGAGGACAAGACAAAGTACATGGTGGTTACTAAGTACCCACGGCCAAAGGGTTAGACAAAACGTAACAATCAATGAATACAACGTTGAAGTCGTCAAAGAATTCAAGTATCTGGGAGCGATCATAATATCTGAAAATAAATATGAAAAGGACGTGGTAGCCAGGATAATTGCAGGAAACAGGGCAAATTACTCATTAATGACCGTACTTAAATCAAAAATAATCTCAATACTAGCAAAAATAAGAGTGTATAAGACAATAATTCGTCTCACAATAACGTATGGAAGCGAGACATGGACTCTGAACCAACGGAAAACGACAAAACTACTGGTACTAGAAAGAAAGATACTACGGACTATCAATGGTCCTTGCAGAGAAGAGACAACAGGAGAATGGAGAAGAAGACAAACCGAATAAGATAGGTGGACCATGTTCTAAGGTCTGGTCGCCCAAGAAAGAGATGGAAGGACGCAGTAGCCAGTGATCTAGGCAAAATGGGAATACAGTAATGAGAAATAGCTGCTCAGGAACGACAACAATATAGAGCCATAGTAAAAGCGGTATTACATAGAGTTGTAGAGCCAAATGATGATGATGACTGTTCTCTATTTAGCATCGGCTTTTACCACAAGTTCCCGTAACGTAACGTGGTTTTAGTAACGTTTACCTGTGGGTAAGATTCAATATTTACGTATCATAACAAAATACACTCAGGTGCAAAAAAATCGATCCATTCTATTTCTTATTTATTTGAAGTTGTTTAATTTTAAAGACATTAAATTACATATGTAAATTTAGGTGTGTCCTCGTATACGAGAAATAAAATAATATTTTTAATATAGCTTTTTATATTTCTTAAAACAAATTGGTATTTCAGGTTTTTGTCAAAAAGGGTCTGAAGCAAGTAGATATTTATTTAAAAAAAAACACAGAAGTTAAAACACTTCACAAATGTGTATTTAGGTATAAAACAAACAAGTTAAAACTTTTTAAAAAAGTGTCGTCACATTTAAAGTTCTGGCAGAACGTTTTCGATCACTACGGATCATCTTCAGTGCCTAGTATTTGTTGCTAACAATATGGTGTCTATAAGACTTCCATGTTTGGGTTGGTAAAGTGTCACATTTTACATTAGATAATGTTGATACTGTAGGTCGATGACAATGGATGTATTTAAAATTAAAAATTTTACTTCAGGGACTACATGTCTCCTAAGCTCGAATACTTGCACGTTGTCAGTTAAAGCGACGACACAGACCAAAATGAGCTGCTTCAACTGACAACGTGCAAGTATTCGAGCTTAGGAGACATGTAGTCCATAAAGTAAAATTTTTAATTTTAAATACATCCATTGTCATCGACCTACAGTGTCAACATTATCTAATGTAAAATGTGACACTTTACCAACCCAAACATAGAAGTCTTATAGACGCCATATTGTTAGCAACAAATACTAGGCACTGAAGATGATCCGTAGTGATCGAAAACGTTCTGCCAGAACTTTAAATGTGACGACACTTTTTTAAAAAGTTTTAACTTGTTTGTTTTATACCTAAATACACATTTGTGAAGTGTTTTAACTTCTGTGTTTTTTTAAACGATGGTATACAGCCAATTACGGGGTTTTTCCCATTAATTTTTAGATATTTATTTAATGTTGTTTTTAATTCAACAACCATACTAGTATAGTGATTTTATTTTAAAAACGTGTTATATTTTTATTTAATTATCCATCCTAAATGTCTCTAACTCCGACATATGCTGCAAGAGCGGTGACTTTAGTTCAAGATGGTCGTAGCCAATATCATGCAGCTAAAATATTGTTGCAGCAAATGGGTGTTAGTCGATCTTCGGTTCAAAGAGCAGTTCTGCGTTTTAGCGACACCGTTAACTTCACAAGAAGACCAGGATCAGGTCGTATAAGGGTAACATCCGAAAGAGATGATCGATTTCTGGTCTCATCATGTTTGAGAAATCGGCATCTAACTTCAGTTGAACTGCCAAATCGTCTGAGCGAAGTGAGAAATGTGGATGTAAGCAGATGGACAGTTCGTCGACGACTTGTAGAAGGTCATTTATTATCCAGAAGGCCAGCCCTATCTCCAATACTATCCATAGAACATTATAGAGCTCGCCTTGCTTTTGCAAGAGAACATGAAATCTGGAGTGATGCAGATTGGAGTAATGTATTGTTCTCAGATGAGTCCAGATTTTGTCTAAGGTCACCAGACGGCCGAGAAAGGGTTTGGAGAAGACACAGAGAGCGATATTTTCAATGTAATATTGCGGAAAGAATAAGTTATCGGGGTGGGGGCTCCGTTATGGTTTGGGCTTGTATCAGTTCAGAAGCCCATACTGATTTAGTTATTGTAGATAGAGGTTCTATGACTATTGCAGGATACATAACAAGTATTTTAGATAAGCATGTGGTACCTTTTGGTCCTTTCATTGGACCTAATTTTATTTTTATGAATGACAACGCGCGTCCTCATTGTGCTAGAATTGTCAACCAATATATAGAGGAGGTGGGAATTGTTCGTATGAACTGGCCAGCTTGCAGTCTCGATCTCAATTCCATAGAACATCTATGATATATGATGGGAAGACGTCTTCGAGCACGAGTACCCCGTCCAAACAACTTGGCTGAACTTACAGCGGCTCTTTAAGAAATATGGGACCAATTGGATCAATTTGATATCCAGAGGTTAATTACCTCAATGCCTAAACGTGTACAGGCTGTTATAAGGACCCAAGGGGGAAACACTAGATATTGATTTATCAATGTTTTTCTTAATTTTAGAAAGTTTTGAATATTCTTTTATTTTTGAGTTTTGGCGTATGTCTCTATAAATAAATTATTTTTTTTGGATAATCTGTACTTTTACATATATACTTTTACATATATACCTGATTTAAAACTAATATCTTCAAACGTGTTCTTTTTACAGTAAATAATACCCATGGATCGATTTTTTTGCACCTGAGTGTATAAAAATCTTATAGATCTAAAAAAAAACTTTTTCACGTTACGTTTGTAGTTGCTTACCTGACATTCGGGTAAAAATGTTTTCGAATCTTCTTATCGACTTAAACATGTTTCCCTGCATATTATTCACATTATTGGTACCATAAGCTTGGTTAAAAACGTCCTCTTGAACACACTGTATATATTTTTTGATACTATTAATGTCATCAGAATCCTTAATTTTTCTTACATTATATATAAGGATATTTGCCGGAATACTTGCGTAGGATAAAGCTTTTAAAAATTTATTTATTTTTTCGTCTTTCAACAGTTGTTTATCTAACCTAAAATGGTATTATAAGAAAATAATTAAAAAACCTGGAACAGTGACTGCCTATTGCGTAACGTAAGATTGTAATGAGCTTAAGCTGTCACCCAGTGTATTGATATAAGCAACTGACTTTTTTGAAGTCAATATTCCTACACAAGTTATGCTGTTATAGTTATACACTGATATGTTATTTAAGGAGATTATTGGAATTTTGCAGAGAAGCTTTTAAAAGCTTCCTCAGTTTACTACAAAAATAATGGAGTACGCTTATAAGTAAAAAACAACTGTAAAGTCCATACTTACAAACACTTTGTAGGTTTTTTTTTAGATGTTATAAAAAGTTTATTGTTACTTAACATTAAAAATAAAAGACAACGAAAAACAAAAAAACTAAACCAGAAGCACTAATCTTCATTCGATAGTCTCATTCGTGCAATGAGACTAATAATTTATGCAATTGTCTGGTGAATTTTCTGTTAAAGAACGAGCATCATGCAATTGGCGCGTCTATTTTATTCCTCCGTGGGAAGCCGATGAGGATGAGAGCTGTACCATTGTGGAAAAGGCATTAAAGATAGAATGTATGTGGTTCGTGGAATAATTTGTTCGATATGGAAGGTTTTGTAAGCTGGACCAATTCTTGACTATTTGTTTAAGGAATATGGGAAATGAAGTGGTTCTATTTGTCATCTATGATGAGAGAGTGATAGATCTGGCTCAAGGTGTCAATATGAGTTGTTTTATTTAGGGCTGCTGGATGTTTTAGAATTTGGCACGTTTCTAGGAGGGATCTATTATGATAATTTTGTTGTTTGCAAAGTATTATGGTGTTTGTGGTGTCGATTAGGTGTTTGGTTGAAATGGCATGTTGTGCAAGAGCACAAGGGGGTTTGAAAACCCTAGTGCCACTTTTGTGACGTTAGTCGACCTTGAACAGAGCGGCTGGTCTGGTCAATGTTGGCCAATGTAGCAAGAGTTGCACTCTGGACAGGTTATATGGTAGACAATATTAGTTTATTCTACAGGGGACAAGGAATTTTGTTTTTTGAAAATAACTTTTCTACAGTTCTCGCGTTTTTTAAGGCTATGTATTTTAACTGGTAAGTTATTAAAGAGTTTAGTAAGTTTATTCGTGATTTGTGGGGAGTACGGGAGAGAAGCACATTAGTGGCTCGTTCTGGGGTGAATGTGGAGTTGTTCATCTGTATGATGTTAGAAATGGACGCTAATATTACACCATTGGGTGCTCCTGCAATAGAATTCCCATAGCTTTTGAGAAATAGATATTTATTGATAATAGAAATGGGATATGAGTTATCAATGAGAATAGACTTTAGTAGACTAAGTGATTCACCTTTGCATATGACAAGTTTGACTAATTGCGTTGAACAATTTTGGTTTTGATAAAAACCAGTATTTTGACGACGTTTCGGCAAGATCGCACTTACCATTGTAAAGTCAGGTAGTAGTGCTTCTCGCTAACTTCAAGCGTCAGCGGGACCCGCTAATACCTGACTTGACAATGGCAAGAACGGCCTTGCCGAAACGTCGACAAAATAATGCTTTTTATCAAAACCAAAATTATTCAACGAGGAGTCAAACCCGGAAACTAGAGAAAGCACATATAACTCCCGCGGAAATTTCAAATGTTATTATTTTACTCTCTTTTCACTTTACAGTAATTTGGCATTACCAAGAAATGCTGTCATTTTTTAGTTGTAAGTCGTTTATGTTCATTTAGTGTATTTTTTAGGCTTGTCACCGTTGTCGGTTTTTCAATAATTCGTTTTTTTATATATATTTAATTTTTTAAGCTAAACAGACATTTTGACCTCAGTAGGTAAAACCATTATATTTTTTATCATTATGGTATCAATAGATGTTGCCAAAATATATATATTCTTATCTAACACAGGTAACCTAGATACATAAACATCGATCGATTTGAGTTGAGTTCAAGGAATGACATAAAAACTACTTGCCGGTTAAAAAACACCTATCTGTAAAAACGGTCTTGCGGATACAACAACTGAACTACATATGTACGAATTATAAAAATGTACTTACCTTTCTATGAGTATCTCAGCTTCACTTTGAACCCCATCATCCTTAAAATTATAATTCTCTTTACTCAACCTATAAGGATACATTATAGCTTGTGGATAAGTATCAGCTATTCTTTGGATCAGTTTCGACACGACAAATACTTTTGGGGAGTCAACGTTGACCAGCAATTGTGGTATCCAGCCCAGAAACATCCAAGTGGGAATTTGTTCGGTCTATAAAACAAACCTTGTAATAGTCATGTTTGCAGCCACACACTATCCAGAAAAATATTTCAAACTCACCGGTTCAAAATAAAAACAGTTCATAAAATTTAAAATGGATCTGTGGTTTTTGAATTCGAATTATGCTAGTAAGTTTAGTTGGCCGATCATTGAGTAGTACGGTAAGAACTAGTAGTAAGTACAGTATAGCGGCTCATTTACATCCCATAATCTACCGGAAGACTTTAAAATCTAGAAAACCGAAGCAAATAATAACAATGTTACACCTGTAAAGATTCTAGATGTAAACATTTATTTAATCCATTCCATCAACTTATTTTTATGTTAAGTATACTAATTATCTTTCGTTGCCTATTAAAATGTCTCGTATTCTCCTAACATAACTATAAACAGTTTTAACGCCTTCGATAGTGAGTAAACGAAATACAGTACGTACAACATGGCAAATTTCGCTTTGACAATTACAAATGTACAATTTTATTTAAAAATAATACATAAAAGTACATACCTCTTTCAGAAACAGTTCCTTGTGCGCAGTGGCCAAATTCTTTACCATTAAAATACACGGAAATAGCTGCCTGGCTTCCGAAGAGTTCAGCTTCATCGCTCTCAATACGAACAACATAAACTCACCCTCCAAACTACTATCGTTTTTGTTCCTAATAAAATGTGCCAGTTTAATATAGGTATCAGCAATTCTTTTAAACTTATCAGACGAATCATTTCTATCCACATCGCTGTCCATTTCCTCGGTGTTGCATTTTTCTACCGAACATTTTAAAGTATTCCAAGCATACGTTTCTATGTCTGCGATTGTATTGACAGAGATGCCCAATACTGAAGAAATTTGTTCACTAAATGTTAGGAGATTTGTATTAGATGACATTAATTCAGACATATCGATAAGCGCGTCGAAAAGCTTGCTGTTGGTGGTTAATTTTATTGATTCATCTTCGGGACGTTTCAGATTATCTCCTAAAAAAACATTGACTGTCAAACAACTGTAAGTTGGAAGCTTGTGTAGTTGTTTGTATATTGAGAATTAAATAATGTTTGGAGTCATCGAAAAAAAAAACATGATTGAGGTAAGCAACGAACCCCTTCCTTCTTTTGTATGATTAGTTAATCTTATACAAAAAATTTATAATAAATGTAAACAAAATAACCTAAAATGCATTTAAAACCCTCGTTCAAAGTCAAATCTCATTTGACTCATAACTCATATTTCATCTAAGACTACAAAATACCTGGATATTATTAAATACACTTCTTGTATAATACATTTCAGCGATCTTGACGCATATTTTACAGTTTCGTACAGACAATTATTAATTCAACTGTAAGACCTACTTTTCTACATGCCTGTTACCTCTCATGAGACATGACTATCATTTTCCATAGCGTATGTGAGTTGTTATGGATTGGATCTAAATATGCCTGTAACTAAGAGTTTCAAAAGTTGTTATGGATTGTTGCAAAATTGGAATTATGTTCAAACCGTGAAACTTACATTTTAGTGCAAACCTTTTAATGCTGAAATAAAAATTCTTTAGATCTGTCAAAGAAATACCTACATCAAGTCGTTAGACTTTCTTTGACCAAAAAGAGCCCTAGACAATAAAATGTGAGCAGAATGAAGTGGCAGAAATCTGATCAACATCAGATTTTGGATATGATTGCCAATGTTGGAGGCAAAGAATAAAGAAGACCAAGACAGAAGAGATAAGAAAAAATCACAAGATTTTTTAAATTGTTTTGCAGCATAATATCAGTCTCAAAAATTGCTGGAACTGTCATCAACACAATGATTTGTCGGTGTAATTTCGTAAAGAAAATAATGAAAACAAAAGTCAAATTGTAAGATTTGGCAGAATACCCAGACAAAATATAAATCACAGACCAATTTATTTCCTGGGATTTTTACTTCAAGAAAAACAAAAGGTTTAAGAATATGAAAAGATTAAGAAAACATTAACAAAAAAACTCAATTCAATAGAGGTCTTATTACATCAAGAGGAACCTGTATAGCAAGTCTCAAGATCCTAGGAATGTCGTCGCCAATAAGTAGGGACATTTTTCCCCTACACCTTATTTTCATTCACACTGCAGTAAGACAGGACCACTATATAAACATATTTTCTCCCTACGTACTATTGGCTCCGAACGAAATACAACAATTTTTTTATTTTTTTGGTAATTAATATTCAGAGCTGGATCGCTGAGTTCATTTAACAGGTTACTGGCAATTTTTAGGTCATCTGAAATGAGAATAATATCATCTGCAAATTGTAGCTGACTAAGCATCTCACCATCGATACTTATTCCTTTATTTTCCCATTCCAGTAATTTCAAGTACAGTGATGAACAACTTTGGTGACACAGTATCTCCCTGTCGAACGCCTCTCCGGATATTTGTTAGTGGTAGAATCATGTGGATTTATAGTTGTAGCATTGCTACATATATTTTCTATAATGGTGAAGCTATGATCAATTCCACACTCTTTCAGTGTCTTTAGAAGTGTGGGCAGTTCGATAGTATCAAACGGTTTATGGAAGTCTATAGACGTTAGTTTATAAAGGTAAAACTACAGAGAATCTGCGTCACAAATTTTCCCCTATTTAGTATAGCTTATAAAGTATCTAAATCCACAAGGAAAACAATTCCTGTAGCTGGCTGTATACCACGTACCACAAAAAAAAGGTTAGTCTTCGTAAGTGGGTATATTTATTTAAAAAACCCTTAAAAGGGCTACATAAAAAAAAACAAACGTTTTCGGACTAAACAGTCCATCATCAGGTTTAATTTTTAAAAATTGCCTAAAATAAGTATAAACCATTTAGTTAAAACAATTTCATAACCACGTTTGTTTCCCACAGGGATGCGTATTGTCGCCAATTCTTTTAATGCCTACTCCGAAGAGATCCTAAGCTCTTGAGGGTGAAATAGCTGGAATATTGTGATCTTAGCCGAAAATATTGAAGATCTTCAGAGATTGGTGACCAAATAGCGGAGTATGGAAATGAGTACGGTCTAACAATGAACCTGAAATTTATGAGAATATCGAAAACTCAAAAAAATAACGAGAATCTTCTAATAAACGGAAATAACATCGAACAAGTGGACAAATATGCATATCTGGGAACAATGATTACTTCCACAAATGATTACATTGCGATCAAAATCAAAATAAAAAAGGCTAGAGCAAATTTCAACAAAATGAGAAGAGTGCTACATACAAGGGATTTAAAATTGGAACTAAGAGTTAGGTTGGCGACGTGCTATGTTTGTTCGACTTTGTTGTATGGAGTGGAATCTTGTACCTTGAATGTGACATCAATGAAAAAACTGGAATTATTCGAGCTGTGAGTGTATAGAAGAATTCTAAAAATATCGTGGTAAGTACACGTCACAGACAAAGAGGTTCTTGAATACAAACTAAAACAAGAAAATTGGAATATCTCGGACATATTACAAGTGGAGAGAAATACACCTTGGTCCAACTGATTATGCAGGGAAAGATCCAAGGAAAGAGAAGCATAGGGAGGCGTAGAATGTCATGGCTGCGCAAGCCGACAAATCAGCCGTCTCAAAAGTCCAAATAGCTATGATGATTACCGACCTCCGCCGTGGAAATGGCACTTGAAGAAGATTTCAATATATTAACATACCTCCATTTTAGAGCTAGCACCAAAAATCTACCTAAAATGCTATAAAAGAAAAAATTATTACTTACTGAAAGTTTCAACGGCCTTTACATGATACTTCATCTTCTCATTTAATTCAGTCACCATTTTAGACTTTTGTAACCACAGAACACCCGTGGCAACATTTAATTTGGGATGTTCCTTGTCCTCGTAGAATACCAGATACTTTTTAGTCATGTTGAAGTTCCCCCTCTCGGTTGCTGTTGTGATCAAATCAATATCCATCTTAACTTTTGACTTATACAGCTCTTTCCTAAATAATCTCGTATCCAAACCAGACATTGTCGATATTTTATCCAAGATATTAGTAATAAATTGTTTTCTATACAGCAATTTGGTTTCACTCAGTATTAAAGAGGAAGATGCTTCAATTGGGATACTTGACCATCTGTTCTTCAGCGTTTGCAAAACTCTATCGATATCGTCTATAGACTTAAAGATTTCAATAAAATCTGATATTTCAACGATATTTTGGAGCTTCAACAGCTTTTGAAAACGCTGCGACTGGAACATTGGATTCAAAATTTGCCAGTCTTCCAAGAAATTCTTCTCCGAAATTCTTAAATAATGTTTAGCTGTATGCATGTCCTTCTCACATAACCACAGCATGCACAATTCTTCTGAAAAATGAGTATTGAGATACTCCTCACTTTTAGAATCTGACAGACAGCTGTTCAAATTAGTCAAAAATTCTACGTCGGTTTCTTGTGTAAACAACTGATTTTTCACGTGGGACGTTATGTACCAAGGCAGAAGCTTCTGTTGGAACCACTCGTCTTGCCAAAGGTTCGTCCACGTGTCTTCAGTACCTACAACAGTCGCTACAGCATTCGGAATAGTTTCCCATTGGCCCAGATTGGCAAAGCACTTGAAATAGGCGTCGTAGTAGAAATCTCTTCTGTTGTGCGATTGATCAGATACGATCAACTTTTTATAAAGGTCAGCAGCGTCTTTGTACAAATACTTTGACTCAAAGGTGATGGCTTTTTGAAGGGAGCGTTTACAGTCCATTTTTTCTAAGAAGATCGCTCGAACGGTATCCCACTCTTCCAGTTCTTTATATAACCTACAAAAAAATAGTTTGTAGCTTAACATTATACGAGATATCAATAAGATGGAAAAACGTCACAAGTGTTTCAGAAAAAGGCACGGCACCATCCAATTACTTTCAATATGGAAACCCATTGTAAATTACCTCAAAACTGAAGCAAAAATTAGCAAATTAAGGTACCACAAACTCGTCGTAGCCGAAATCAACTCGATTCTACCGGATAACTTGATTACTTTGAGTATTTTTTAATAATATTAATCTTAGGTTAAAAAGTATCTACTTACTCTGCCAATTTAATCCAGCTTACAGTTTCTCTGTCGTCTTCTCTAAATTTCCGCTTGCTGGTACTAGGCATGTCATCCCCTACACCAGATATAAGATATTCCTCGATTAAAAGCGCCCCTGTAGAAGCTAAACCACTTTCTTGTGCAACATAAGAAATAAGTTTTGTATCAAATACCATCTTCTCTTTGTTTTTCAACAAAATGTCCAATAGAGCAGCAAATAGATAACGATTGAATTGCACTGATGATTGAAAGATATTTTTGATGCTATCTGACACAGAAGACAGGAATTGTTGATTGTTTTCTATTTTGTTAGCGAGGCCTTTAAATATTTCTAAGAAGAGTATCTTCGACATCTCGCTATCGTGCTGAAAGTGAGGAATATATTAGTAAAACTAGCCAGATCAGTACGTAATAGTCAGTTACTACTCTTAGCAAGAAGTAAATTCACGAGAAAATGGTTATGATTGTGAGCTTTGTGATTGTCTAGTGATAAACTAGACTTATAAAAATAGGGTTCTGCTTTGTATTTTTCCTTTATTTGTGTTTATATGTAATTCCATTAAAGCTATTGGGACTTGCCTTTCTTTTCTTTTAATAATGGCACTGTCTCCTCTCCCTACTTCTCTCATGGTTCTCCCTCTCACTCTCTCTCTACTCTCTCCGTCACTCTCACTCTTTCATCTCTCTCTTTCACGCCATTTTCTACCTTCCTCTCACACTCTCACCCTTCCCTACTTTATCTCTTTACTTTTTTTTGTGTGTTTTGGCTTGGACAATTCTCATTCAGCCAGTCTCCATCAAGATAAGTTTATTAATGTAGTGTGTGTGTGTGTGTGTGTGTGTGTGTGTGTGTGTGTGTGTGTGTGTGTGTGTGTGTGTGTGTGTGTGTGTGTGTGTTTGTGTGTGTAGAGTAATTGTCTTGATACTTAGCAAAGTCGACGTCATTGTCTTTGCTAAGAGACGCTAATTGTATCCGAACGTCTGCGGTCCCTCCGGTGAGTACCGATCACACAAGGATATAAATTATTTTCATTCATTAATTTTTAATAAATGAAAATTTCTCCACTCAGATGAGATTCGAACTCACGACCTTTAGGTTTTAAAGGTAGGCGCTCTTACCATTAAGCCACAGAGGGGGTTAAAATCTCTTTACTTCCTTCTCTCACGCTCTCTCTACCTTCCTCTCTCTCTACCTCCCTATTGCACTCCGCCTTTCATTCTGTTTTCACTATTTCCTTTTTCTCTGTACGCTATCCTAACCCCTCTGTCTTCTTTCTTTCTATTTTATTTCTCCGCTCTATATTTTTGCCCTCTTCTTACATTCTCTCCTCCCCTTTCCATTTTTTCCCGTTTTCTCACTCCCTTCCACAATATTCTCACTTACTCTCTCCTTTTAGTTCTCTCTCTCCCTCAATCTACCTCTCTTCCCTCTCTTCACCCACATTATTTTGCTCTTTTTCTCATTCTCCACTGTCGTTTCACCTCTCATTTTATGCTCTCGATTTCTCTGTTTGTTTTTGCCTGTCTTTTCTCCCTCTATATTTCTTCCACTATTATCACTTTCTCTATGTCTTGTCTATCTCTCTCTCCAATTTCCCTTCCTCTCTGTGTTCTACTGATTTAAAATCATATAATAAAAATGTGCAAATTAAAAAGTGAAATAAAACTTAATTGGCACAGCTGGTAGGATAATAAAAGTCTATAATTAGTATTTATTTTGAAAATAAAATCTAAAAAATTCACCTTATTTAAAAATTACTATTTTTTTAAAATATAATATAAAGAACAAGGATCGTCTTGAAGAGTTTGTAGCGTACTTACCAAAGCCAACGCCTGCAAAGGTTTCAAAAGAGCCGACAAAGCTATCTGAACATCGGGAAAGTCGCCCTTCCTGTAACTCCTGTAAATAGTAACCTTTTTCTCCCTTTCAATGGCAGCTTCCTTTCTCTTTTTCTCCGTAGTTTCCTTCTTTTGAGTTTCGAAATTGGCCATCATGTAAGAAATCTTCGACCTATCTTTCAGGAAACGTCTTCGGTTGACTCGGTACTTCTGGGATATGTTTACAGTATTAGGATTCTTGAACTTCGTGTCCAGGTCAATGCCTAATGTACTTTGCAGGCTGGTGTGTGTAGATAGTTGTTGTTCGTGGAACGACTGTGTTGGAGCGAATTGGAATGTTGATTGTGTCTGTCGCAAAGCAAAAATATCTCTCTCTCCCGAAAACGTCATGCTAAAATAAAGATTTAGTGAATTCAACTTTTTTAATAAAATTCATTTGTGTAGATCTAAATATTGGGATTTTATTGGCAGAGTTTTTTGTACTCACCTTCCTAAAGTGTTTATATCTAACGTTTCGGCAAACATAGGCACCACTGAGGGATGCTGCAGCTTCCAGTTGGTCTCCAAATTATAATCCTCGAAGTTACAATCTTCTAATGGATGTTCGAAAATCATAGCATCGTATTTGTCGCTGGTAGCCAGCATATTCACGAGAAAATACGAAGACAGGCCCAACAACTTGTCTTCAATTTTCGATTTGTACAATTCGGATAGTAAAAATGAAAATCGATCGATGATCTTTCGTGGTAGAACTCCATTATCCTCCCAGAAGTCGAAGATTTTTTTCTGGTTGTCCATATCGGGGTCTACAAGACCGAGTATCAAGATACTTTTACACGTGTTAGTATGATCACTTTTAGTGTTGTACATAGCAATGGCTACATCGAACAAACACGACCTAAAAAATATGTATGGAAACTTCATTACCAGGGATTGGAAAAGACGCTAAAATTATAGTTTGAAATGAAAGTTATCATAAAAAGTAGTTTATTATAAAAAACTGGGATTACTACAAAAGGAACAGTATTCAAGTTGTTCCTACTTACCTGAATACAACATTTGGATGGTAAATATTTCTAGCCAGTGCCGTTACAACCCTTTCAAAGCCGGGGTAAGTTACAAACTTCGTTAAACATCTCTTGATCAATTCTAAAGTAACAATCTGAATATCCAAGTTGGAATCTTCGATATGTTCGTTCCAGTTCACTATCTGAAAGTCGGTCAATTGTTCCAGGATGTCTAAAGACACCTCCAGTCTTTTAAGGAGGATTTTCAAACAGATAGCTCTGTCAGATGACGTGGTTTGGTTCAGTGTGCTTATTATACGAACAACATGATGTCTGTCCACTATGAGAGGGTACTTGATTGCTACACCTGAACAAAATTATAGATAAGATACTTACAAGGTGAAATTTTTTCGTGTTTCAGAAAGTATAGTTCCAAAATTGTTGACGTTAAGGTCTCAAAGATGACAATTTATTATATTATTTTACTAAATATTCTGTAAATCCTTACCTTCCATACAAGCGACGTACTTATCAATTGGCCACATCCCTTTCAGAACGTCACTGACTCTTTCGACGTATTCCTCCGCTTTTAGAACGTTCATCATTGGCCCTAAAGTCTCTGCGCACGCCCTGTAAATTCTTCTTGTTGCGGAATTCAGTGGTTTTAACATCAGCGCTAAACAGAAACGAAACGTTGACAATACGGTTTTTTGGAATTGCGATTAAGTGTTTTAAAACTTAAAGTAGCATAAAACTATCACAAATTATGGTATAATTTACAAATTACTGTATTATTGTTCTTTAAATTATAATTTAACAAGACTCTGCAGAATTTGTTGAATATTTTATCCATTTAAATACAAACAAAAGCAAATTCTTCTCAACAATACAACAAAATTTATCAAATCCAACAAAATAAAAACTTTATGTAACATTTATGGTGAGTTGATCATGTTTCCATACTTTTTCCTATTATAATTGGTATTTATGACTATACAACTGTTTAGAGTAAGGTATTATATCGGATATCTTGACACAAATTTGTTTGTTGGATCACTACCAAAGCCGATCTTTTTGAAAATAAACCAAAACCAATTCTTCTCAGCAATCCAACAAAACTTGATGTCAGACTTGTGGTGAATTTTACTGGATATACTATATATCTCATACCCAAAAGCCAGGCCAGTCATGGTAATGGTCTTTTAATACACCAAAACATACATACCTTACTCACATCCCTCCTCCACATCTCCATAAACAGCTCCGTGACATCGACTACCTGGCAGTTAACATACACCTACCAAGTAACAACAATATTACGATAATCTCCTACTATAAGCCTCCAGATATACCCCTTTCCGTACCTCTTGTTGAGCACTTTTCCACACTCAACAAGGCGGTTTTAATGGGCGATCTGAATAGCAGACACACTCAATTTGGTGATACCTTCACAAATGTCCCCGGCAGAATGTTCTCAGACCTTCACCTCAGAATCACCAATAAAGAAGTCACGTTCTTTAATCACTATGGAATGTCCATAGTCGACCATATCTTTTGCACCAACAGATTGTTAGATAGGTTCGACGATGAATGTTTCATTGGAGACTCAATAACCTCTGACCACCTCCCACTTCTAGTCAAAACTGACTTCAATTCTCCTCCAGCCATAAGATCTGCTATCTACGGCAAGATTATCGTAAAACAAATTGGGAACTTTTTCAAGAACACATCAACCAAAACCTCCCAGAGTTAGGCAATATGTCAACACATAACCAAGTTGACTCAGGGGTTTCCAAAATTGAGAAGCTTCTTCAAGAAGCTTCAACCCTTGCTATTCCAATAACACTTAATCTATATACTCCAGCTCTCCCACCCAAAATCATCGCACAAATTAAAACAAAATGTAAAATGATCGAGGGTATAAAAGATTTTGAGACCCCCTCATTAAAGCAGAATATAACAGGCTTTCGGCGTCGATCAGGTTGGAAGTGAACAGGCTGAAACAATTACAGTGGATGCGTGTCACGGCCAACCTGAACTACCCAGAGGATGCTAGATTCTAGAACCAATTTAAAGTCTTAACTAAGCAAACAAGTCAGCCACGTTCACATCTCACAGTCAATAACATCATTCTTAGTAATCCACAAGATCAAGCCGAAGCCTTCAAAAATACGCTCCATGCCGCACTCGTTTCCCCCAATAATCCCAATTTCAATGAAAGATCCAAAAGGGAAGCCGAACGGAGAGTGGAAGATATATTCTATTATCATCAGGCGCATTTGCGACCCCATCCTCACCCGATGATGGCCCCTGTGACTGAGGACACCGTCAGACAGACGCGTAACATTGGTAAAAACACATCTCCTGACCCAGATGGCATTCATAGAAGAAGCCTTAAAAATCTTCCAGAGAATATAATCTCGTTGCTCACCAATATATTCAGTGCATGTCTTGCGCTGAGCCACCTATTTTCCAATTCCATGGAATGTGGCCAGCACAGTTATGATTCCCAAACAAGGAAGCCCCTAACCAACCCTGAATCGTATAGACCCATTTCTCTACTAAGCACCCTAGGTAAAGTCTACGAGAGGATCCTTGAGAAAAAACTCGTAGAATTCCTAGACGCTCATCTCTACATTCCAAGATACCAATTCGGATTCACGGCTGGATATTCCACGCAAAATGCATTGGTTGAAGCAACAACTTTCATTTCACAATCCATTAACGAAAGGAAACACGTCATACACATATTCCTAGACGCCCAGAAGGCATTCGATCAGGTCTGGCACACAGGCCTGATTGAAAACCTCCACCTTGCTGGATTGCCCACACCTTTTGTTAAGGTTCTTCTTCTTTACATGTCATCTCCGCGACGAAGGTTGGCAATCATCACTGCTATTCTAACTTTTGACACTACAACCCGAAAGAGTTCGGTTGAGCTGTATCCAAACCATTCTCTGAGGTTTCTCAGCCAGGATATTCTTCTTCTACCTATGCTGCGCTTTCCTTAAATCTTTCTTTGCATTATTAGTTTTAGGAATTCATATCTGTCACCACGTATGATGGAATATAAATAGAAATAAATTCTACTCAGCAATCCAACAAAATATTTACGTAACATTTGCGGCGAGTTAATAACTTTCCCATACTTCTTGCATATTGCAGCTTTATAGTAAGGTGTCGTGTCTTAAGATGAATTTGTTTGTTGGATCACTAACAAAATCGTTATTTTCGAATATAAATTGAAACTAATTCTTCTAAGCAATTCAATAAAAACAGTAATTCGATCAACGTATTCAGGTGGTCTGAATTCAATTTTTTCCAACGATATTTTGAATATCGTGTCGCCGTTTCTTCTAGAACCTTCCTACATGTTTTTTAATGCGCCAAACCAAAACTTCAAATGTCCACCTATTATCAGAACACTACGATACCAGCTCATTGTTTTCTTCTTCTTTTGGTATCATATCCCTGGATGAGTCTTTGCCTGTCCTTCCATTCAGATCTCTCTTGGGCCCTTCTCCTCCATTGTCTTATATTCATGGTTTTTAGGTCTTCTTTCACGTCATCCAACCATCTCGTCCTGGGGCTTCCTACTGTAACATCTTCTTGTCGCTGAACATGTCCCAGCCATGACAGTCTTTGACTTTCACAAATCTTACAATGCCATACCCTTCATTCAGTTCATTAACCTTGTGCCGTCCATGTGCCGTCGTAACCATTCTCCATGTGCCGTCTTCCTCTTGCACCGGGCCATATACTTTTCTCAGTATCCTCTTTTTTCGTCATTACCCAGGTTTCACAACCATAGGTTACTACTAACCAGCTCATTGTCACTTAAATTTAACTCCACTCGTTCAAGAACGTCCTTTACTGGGGTTCTTTGCGTGTTTCTTCACATCTTAAACTGATTCTCAACATATCTCTTTTAGTATCTATGAAATTAATATAAAAGTAAGAAAAATGCTTAATACTTACCTAAAAATCGATGTTCCTCACCCCTCTCCCAAGGCTCCAGACCATTAACCAACAGCACAGACGAAACGTAAATACCAATCTCTGATGTCTCTTCTGTAGAAAAGAAATCTTCGATGATTTGCGTAGGTACTCTGAGGTGTTTCTTCCAAGCCTCGACGATTAGTTTCAGCAACTCGATGTTGTATTTAAAGACGTCTTGACGGTCCCTTTCGAGGTTTTTGATTAAGAATTCTAGAAGCTTGGAAGCCAAAACGGCTTCTTGATCGGAGAGTTTTGGTATCATAGAGGCCCATTTTGAAATAATTACAAGCTGGAAGGTATCAGTTGTTAATAGAGATTAGAAACACATTATTATAATATTGTTCTGAAGCTATTTTCTTGTGGCATTGTAAATTAATTACTATTTATAACTGGGAATAAGCCACAATTAAAGATAAAAAATACGTTTATTGACGTTTCAATTTCCAATTCGGAAATCGTTCTCAAAATACAAACAGTAAATTTAATGTATTTTGAGAACGATTTCCGAATTGGAAATTGAAACGTCAATAAACGTATTTTTTATCTTTAATTGTGGCTTATTCCCAGTTATAGTAATTACATTATTATAAAGAATGAAAACCATTTTGGTCGTTGGAAATAATAAGTACTTGTAAGAATGCAAGCCAATTTTAGCTTGCAGCAAACCACAATCGTTTTGTACTCTTACTCCGTGACCTATTTTTTTATTCATGACATTTTTCTTCACACTTCTACTACACTATATTGTACCTAATTAAAAAATAATTGAGGCCATCCCCAGAAAAGAGCCCATAAGCCTATGGGCCGTTTTTCCGCAGATCGTTTAAATCGATCCGCCATGATGTAAAGTTCATTTCCAAGTCGCCAAGTTTGGCAACAATGTCTCAAACCTGTTTCATTCGATAAACAAAACATTTAACTACCATTTTAACAAAGTTCGCGTCCATTGTTTGTTTAATTGATGGATTCGACCGTTACTTGATGGAAATTCATTTTATGTAACAATAAAAACTGAAAACTTTGTTTTCAAACTTCCACAAAATTTATTTTAAAACATATCACTACAGCTGTTTCGGCTGATTGCCTTTCTCAAGTGATCTATTTTTGGCTTGGGTTTACAAATTTATAGTCTCTAGTGAAATAGAGGCAATACATATAACTGATGACCGCGACCAGTGGAGAAATATTATCAATCAAACTGTCCGAGCTGCTGAAGCCCAATTATGAACCACAACACATCTACTAAGATGTTAATGACTGTGATGATGATGAATGAAATAGGTTGAGGAGGTGAGAACTGTTTGTCTCAAGTTGGTCATTGAGAATTATATCTGTGTATTTTAATTTGTTGATTTCCATAGATTCTAACAAAGATAGCTTAGGGCTTTATTTTGAATGTGAAGAATTTTAAATTTGTCATTAAAAGAATGATTATGATCTAGAAGGTGAAGTGCGTATGTCGAATCTGTTTTTCTATTCTTGAAAGCCCTTTTATGTTCTGCTATTCGTTTATCAAAGTTTCTACCAGTTTGAGTTGAATGACCAACTTGAGACAAACAGTTCTCCCCTCCTCAACCTATTTCATTAGAGACTATAAATGTGTAAACCCAAGCCAAAAATAGATCACTTGAGAAAGGCAATCATCCGAAACAGCTGTAGTGATAAGATTTAAAATAAATTTTGTGTTTGAATACAAAGTTTAAAAACAAAGTTTTCAGTGTTTTATTGTTACATTGTTTGTTTGTTTGTCGTTAACGTGTGTTTATTGAGCTTAAAAAATTTAATATTTAGAAGCAATAGTGCATTGTCAGAAAAATCCATCTCCTTTTAATGTTGTCATGCACAGAACGCTAATCAAAAATTGGACTGACAGTTTCGAAGGACTCTTTCTAAATGAGACAAAAACAAAGGGACTTGTTTTCAGCATTCAGCAGTATATACAAATGAAATACAAAAAAGACGGAACATTGGCTTGTTCTCAAACATACATGGAAAATTACATACCATTCACAATTTGGAAAGGACGAAAAATAAACACAAACATTGCTCTTCAAACTGTCCCAGTGGTTGGAATAAAACTGGAGAAGGAAAACGACGTGAGACATCTATTTTCGTTTTTGTCCAAAGAAGATGAACAATGGATATGTTGGATACTAGAAGAAGTTTCTGTATAACTTTCTTTGTATAATAGTAACTAGTTTTAATGTTTATTTTTTACGTCATTTGCCAAATAAAGATTTTCTTAAACTTATTTCATACTTTCGCAAATGATCTATGGAAAAAGGGCCCATAACAAGCTAATGTAAAAATATTTACATAAAAATGTGTCTATATCTGTGATATATAGTTTAAATCTTAATTTAAATCTCCTCCTCAATCCTTTAGCCCTTGTCAGGGCGTAGTGACACCCTAAATATTATTAGTCTGCTGTCTCCATTGACTGCGATCTTGTGCCATATGGACGGCTTCATGTAGGGATTTTCCCACCAAACTCTTCATTTGGTCCACCCATCGTATTGGACATCTTCCTCTTGGTCTTCGGCCTTCTACCTTACCTTCTACTACCAATAGTTCCATGGTGCCCGTTCTTCTAGCTATGTGGCCGAAGTAAGTTAGGTATACTTGGTTTACTTTTTTAGTAGCCTGTCTTTTATATGAAGCTCTTCCAGAATTGACAGGTTGGTTCTATGTTCTGTCCAGGACACGCGTAGAATTCTTCTATATACCCACATTTCGAAGGCTTCGATCTTACTCCTATCGATTTTTTTGAGAGTCCATGTTTCAGCTGCATATGTAGCAATGGGAAAAATAAGGGCATTGACCAACCTAAGCTTAGTATTCCTTGTTATTGTTCGGTCTTTCTTTTAATTTAAATACAATACTTTTATTTTTAAAACAAAAGTTTTAATCTTTGTTTTCAAAATACTTGTTAAATTTTCAATTGCGTTTTTTTCAAAAGCGCCATTTGGCATATAGGCCCTTTTTCCGGGGATGGCCTCAATTATAGTGACCATGACTTACCATATCCGTAACGAAGTAGTTAATAGTATTCCCGGCAGAAAGATCGACGACGAACTTTATTAAAGGCTCCAGAAAAAATTTTGCGTAGCCGTTAAAGATGTCTATCATATTATCAATGACTTTGACCAAGAAAATTTTCACGTTTTTGTGAGTGGTGTCATTTAGAAGCATAGATCTTAGTCCTACAAAGAGAAATAATAGAAATATATGTACAAAAATATTGCTAATGCAATTTTAAAGTCTAATATTTCAGAATATATATAATTTTCACTATAACACAATAAGATATATACACTCACCTTTCATCCACTCTGGTAAAGCTACATTTTCTTCGTCATCGAAGGGCATCTGACACACTCCAGTATCAAACATATGTTGGATGAGACTACAAACAGTGCCCATGCACTCGTGTTCGTTTATTTCGGTCGAATCTAAAAACAACTCGACCTGCAGTCGTCTATTATCTTGCATCTTTTTTAGTGCGGCGCTTTCGGACCGTAGTACGCTGTTTGTGAAGTCGAATTTAGTGACGTCTTCGCTCAAAGAACTGTTAAAAAGTCTTTGAGATTCGATGTACTGTAAACTTTTGGACATGGTACCTGAAAAAATGATAGTGATTTATTAATGACAATCTACAGTAAGTTCACAACCTTTCTATTTATTCCAAGACTTATAGCAAGCTTGCTCGATTGTGAGTCTTAGTCGATCGACGCTCTCATTAGTTGATAGTTTCCTTTGTAGTATTTCACTTGTAATAATGCATTTGCAAATAGGACTACTTCATTCTGATGATTCAGACTGCTCACGGTTTTCTCTCGTCTTCGTGACAATCCCTAGGTGTAACTGTTGTCACCTCTGCTCGAATTATAGTTGGATCTATTCTGTTTTCAAAAATCCTTCTGGGATGTGTAGCAAAGCTTTATTTTACCATTATCTTTACTTTAAAGTTTTGTTTCGTTCACTTATTGTTAGACTTAGAAGCTGTACATTTGAGCAACTTTCTGTTCTTCATAAAACACCACACAGGTTATCTTATTTTGACTGTTGTCCGTGGTCTGCCTTTTTATTTTCAACTTTCAATATCTTTAACTTTAATATACTTATCTTTGATGTGAGTGGACCCCAGGAATCTGTCTTCTTCTTCTTCTAGTTCCATGACCGGGATCGATCGTTGGATACCATGTTGGCTACCATATTCGCTATCGTGACTTTATTGACAGCAGCTCTAAATAACGATGTAGTTGATTTTCCATACCATTGCCTTAGATTTTTCAGCCATGACGTTCTTCGTCTACCAGGACCACGATTACCTTGGATCTTTCCCTGAATGATCAGATGTAAAAGATCATATTTTCCAGGGTGTCTCATAATGTGACCGAAGTATTCCAGCTTGCGTTTCTTTATTATATTGACCAGTTGTGTTGTTTGGCTCAGCCGTCTAAGGACCTCCCAATTTCTAACTCTGTCGACCCAGCTTATTTTCAGTAGTCGTCTGTATACCAACATCTCAAAGGCTGTCAAGCATTTAAGCATAGCCTCAGTTAGAGTCCACGCTTCCACTCCATATTGAAGGACAGGAAAGATGTAGCAAGATGTCATACGAACTCTAAAGTCAATGCTAAGATCGTGACTGCAAAGTACGTTTCTCATTTTTACAAAGGCAGCTCGGGGTTGTTCTATTCGGCTTTTAATTTCTGCGGTTGGATCCCAGCTCTCATTGATATTACTGCCGAGATACACGAGTTTCTCTACTCTGTCCAGTGTGGCATCTCCGACTTTTATATCGTCATCCTGTATATAATTTTGTTTGCTAACTATCATATATTTAGTTTTCTTAACGTTGAGTTTTAATCCATACTGATCACAAGTCTGTTTTATTTTGTTCATTAAATCTGGGAATCTAGGAATCTGTCATTAAACCTAATCCACTAACTGCCTTGAAACATTCATGTAGATGTTTGCAGCGCTTTTGTTGATGTTTTTTCTCTCTGCAGCCTGAAGAATTTTGTCTATGAAAATAAACAAGTTTTTCCTCTTCACCACGAGCAGAAACAACCACTACTATTAAATGAAAACCCTAAGATCAATTAATAGCAAAGCACTTGGAGTTAGAATGAGGAGCGGAGGTATCAGGGCCCAGTATAACATTCAAGACGTTGTAAAATTATCTAGAGGCAGAAAAACAGCATTGAGAGGCTACGTTGATAGAATGGATGATAAAAGACTTGCAAATATTGCAAAGAAAGAGAAATTGAAGACTAGAAGACCACCCGGAAGATCTTCCAAAAACTGGTATGAAAGTTGGACGCAGAAATCCCAACTTAGGCTGCAACTGTGAAAAACAAGACATTGTCTGAAAATAAGAAGAAGAAGAAGTTCAACAATCTTATTATTTTGACATATGTCATCAGATGCGTGATGTCTGTCAAAATGTCAAGAAAAACAACAGTTATATATTTATAAAACACAGTTAAAGGATGGCAAAGCGCAAAGATATTCAACAACATATACAACTCTGGAGAAATACCCCCAAATGGCTGAAATCTGAGTTGATTGCACTTCCAAAAAAATCAGGAGCCAAAAATGCGAAGATTACCGTACTATAAGCCTCATGAGTCATCTACTAAAATTGTACTTTGAAAATAAGCCTATTATCGAGCACAAGTTAATTAAATCTAGCCCAAGTACTTTCGCTTAAAATAGCATCTTCAGGGGCATTTCGTCAAAATGTAAACTATCCGGCAAGCGTAGAATGTGGAAACATTAATAATGACATAAAATTGTACAAAACACTACACTAAAACGAGGACAAACAGTTTAAAATTACTTAAAGATTCTACGCTACATTCTCTGTCAGTATTTGGAGGGATGAATCATTATCATTAACGGATAGGCACATCAAGAAGAAGAATATATTTTTTGGTGATGTAATAATAGCGATGAAAACAAACAACTTTTGTGCAATAAGTATCTTCAGATATTGAGTACTAAAAATAGATAAAAAGTTATAAAAAAACCTCAACTTACCAGCGTTTTGTCGACTTTTCCTAAGTTCATCTCGAATATTCACCAAAATCTTCTTCTGTGTCGGCAAGGAATCAAAATTTTTCGGAAAATCATAGCTAATTTCAGTATTAACGATAGCGTGCCATAAGATATCCACGTTTTTGTCTTCTCTCTTAAATAGTTTATTGTAAAACGCTTCTTTTTTTACAGAATTGCTGATGATCGATGCTGAGGCGTTATAGGCGTGGCATTTATACTGTCTCAGAAGGTCTCCTCGACTATCAGTTACCTGATGGAGAACGAAAAATATAGTTTATATTATGTAAGAGGTTTGCTTTGAGAGGAATGTTGACATACGGAGCAGAGACGACTTTAAAATTACTTTATTTCGAGACAAATGCATATTTCTCGAGATATATCAATATGAAACTCGAGTAGGGGAGAGTGTTCCACAATTAGACATGTTCCACAATCAGACAAAGCATGGAATTTTGAAATTCCCGCCGTAAGTTTGACGTTTTTCGTTCGGATAGTGAGATTATACACGCCAATGTGATAAGCAAAGTTTGAACGCTGTTCTCTTGGTTTTGAGCATTTTTTAATAAAAAATCGTTTTTCAAGGTAAGTTTTTTCTATCGTTGATATGATATTATATGCTTTAATTTTTCTTCTGAAACTAGTATTACAAAAACAACCTTTACATCAGATTTTGGGCTATTTTGTCGGCATTTTATAAGCAAGTTTACTTTTGTAGGTTATGTATGAAGGTCACAGTTAAATTTAATTTTGTATTGTAGGTTGTGTTCCACCTTCAGACAGCATTTTTGTTCCATAATCAGACACTCTGATTGTGGAACACAACGCTTGTTTGGAGTGTTGTTGAAAAAGTAATTGTTTTTGTAAAAATTTAATTTATATTTCAGGAAAAATGGCTCGAGGACGTTAGCGAAAAAGCGATAAAGGGCAATTTGATGAACAATCCATGAGAGCTGCTGTTAGAGCAGTCACCGAAGAGAAGATATCTTTAAGACAAGCAGCTGAAAGATACAATTTAAAATTTCAAACGGTTTATGAATATGTAAAAAGGCAAAAACAGAATCCCACCAAAGAGATTAAAATGGCTCCAAATTATGCTTGTAGAAAAGTTTTTTCTGAAAATCAAGAAAAAGCCCTAGCCGATTACGTATTAACTTGTTCAAAAATGTGTTACGGACAAACGGTCATTAATATCAGAAAACTGGCTTATGAAATGGAAACTATTAATAATTGTAAAATTCCGGAAAATTGGCAAACAAACAAGGAAGCTGGACGCGAATGGTTCCTTGGATTTATGTCCAGACATGCAGAATTAAGTCTTCGCCAGCCGGAAGGATGTAGCCTCTCCAGAGCGACATCATTCAACAGACACAATGTTGGACTTTTTTTCAAAAATTTGGAAAAAGTGTTTCAGAACCATGGAAATTTTTGCAGTGGTACAAGAATTTATAATTTAGATGAAACTGCCACCACAACCGTCCAAAAACCGCAAAAGATTGTTGTTCAGAGAGGGATCAAGCAGGTCTATTCCTGTACGAGCGCCGAACGAGGTTTACTGGTCACCACTTGTTGTGTTATATCAGCATCCGGGAATACAATACCACCAGTCATGATTTTTCCACGAAAAAAGTTTAATCCTCGAATGACTTATGGAGCACCGCATGGTACTTTGGGATTGGTTTCCGATTCTGGATGGATGACTCGTGAATTGTTTCCAAGCGTTGTAAGGCACTTCATTAAACATACGTCCAGCACAAAAGAAAACCCTTCTCTCTTAATTTTTGACAATCACGAGAGTCATCTAACGATAGAAAGAATAAATCTAGCCAAGGAAAATGAGAGTGATCATTTTGACCTTACCGCCACATACTTCCAACAAGCTGCAACCATTAGATGTCTCGGTGTTTTTTTCGTTTAAATCATTCTACAATACTGCCTTACAAACATGGCTTTTAGAGCACCCTGGGATACCTGTTTCTATTTTTGATATCGCTGGCTGTGTTGCTTATGCATTTGAAAAATCGATGACGCCCGGTAATATCAAATCCGGATTTCGAAAAACTGGGATTTATCCCTTCGATAAATTCATATTTACAGATGACGACTTTGCAATTAGCAGCGTAACTGATAGGAATGGGGATCAAAACAATGAAGAAGCTCAACGACTTATGGATCCAAATCAACCATCAACATCAAGATGCATTGAAGAAAATATAATGTCAGACTCCTTAGTTTCAGTATCAGTTAGTTTAAACACAACACCTACACAAAATCACAAAGAAACTTTCGTAAGTCCACAACAATTTAAAGGATACCCAAAAGCTGAAGAACGAAAAAATCAGAGAAAGAAGAGAGAAAAAGCTAAAAGTATTATCGCCACGGACACTCCAGAAAAGATCGCCCTAGAAGCTAAACAAATGGAGCGAGAAAGAAAAAAAAAGTGTTAAGAAGAATAAGGTCGTGAAAAGAAAAGTAATGGATGAAGACTCAACAGACGAAGAAAATGAAGACGCGGCGATGCTTGTAACCGAAAGTTCCGATGATGATATTGATTTTGTAGGAGAAATCGATCCACCACCACTTCTAGATAAGCTTAATAAAGAGCCAGAAGTTGGCGATTTTATTTTAATAGAATTTATGGACAAAAAGAAAAAAAATTTATTACATAGCTGAAGTGTTCTGTAAAAAGAATAAGGAATGCGAGGTCAAATTTTTGAGAAAGTCCGTTAAGTATAATAACAGCTTCATTTACCCCGAAATAGAAGACGTCTCATTGGTATGTTTGGAAAACATTAAGATGGTGTTACCAAAACCAGCACATGTGGGAACAACAAAGCGGCAACAATCTTATTTGAAGTTTGAAGTAAATTTTTCAGCTTTAGAAGTTCGTTAAAACATTATTACCTTTTGTCTTATTGTGGAACATGCAGTGTCTGGATGTGGAACATGTGTGTTCCACTATCAGACAACTGTCCTTCCTTTGTTAAACAAACTTTTTTTAAATTAGTTTTTGGTTTATGATGTTTGTTCTACCATAAAAACTTATGTTTAGCCTTAATTTATTTTAGTGATAATCATATTTTGGTTGGTTCAATAAACAAGGTCAATACTTAGCAAAATCTATTTTGTGTCTGATTGTGGAACACTCTCCCCTACTGAAATACTACACATATTTTTAGGTTCTGAGAAAACAAATATTCAGCAAAACACATCCAGATGGCAAATAAAAACTGTGTAAATCACAAATAATATTTGTCTTACATTTAAGCACATAATTAACAAGAATTTCTATCAAAACACTGCTGATTCTACTGATACATTTTTTATACTAACCTTAAAAGCGTTAAACGCAAATCCCAATAACTTTTGAAGTAATTTGGGTTCTTCTGCAGCTGCGCAAATGTCACAGTCCTTCCGTTCTTCCGTCCCGATAGCAATTCTCAAGAAAAGAATTTCCACAAGTATGAAAATAACAATGGACTCTTCTAAACCGTTTCCTTCCAAAATTGCGAGCATATTCTTAATGTTATTGATGAAAAATTGCTCGAAGGAGTCGATGTTACAGGTCTGAAATACCACAGAAAGTATATCTTTGGCAATCGTGTACCAATGCTGAGGTTTCTCCATAACCATGGTGTATATGTGTTCTAGGAATAAAGGGTGGACACTTATATCCAATTGGTACATGAATCTTCTTAGTAAATTGTTTATATCTACACTTGGGGGTATTTTCACGTAGATTTCTGTTAAATATTCGAAAATTATCGGTGATTTTACCACAGGGAAGAACGTAAGCAGTTTGTTGAAACTGTTCGTGACAATTTCTTGATTTGATGATTGAGATGCGATTTTTTCGTTCAGTAGCATCAATAAGGTCTTCAAACTGGAGCTAAAATAAAAGATTTAGTATTCTATAGTATATAATGAATAAATCAAAGATACAGAATTAGGAAAAAGCAAATCCAAGCGCCACCTCAAAAATTTTTACACAAAATATTGATATAAAAACTCACCTTTGCTCTTCTGATACATCACTCTTCGTTATCTTCGCCAGAAGTTCAAATATTTCTATACAATTGACTCCATTCTCTCTAATCATACAATCCACCAACCAATCTTGCATGTCAGAAGAACCAGAGTGGCATATTTGGACAAAAAGTGCTAAAAACTCCATACCAAGAGTAATACTTTCCTTGCTAACACTGAAATACTCTGCAAAACGACTCCAAAACTTCAATACACAGTTCGCAATCTCATTAAATGATTGTTTATACTGTTTATCTTTGACAACATTCTTTAAAACAAGCATAGTAATGTCTATAGTAAGTTTGATATTATTTTTGTCCAATGAAAGCTTTAAAAACGTTTCAAAATCTCGTACAACCGCTGGAATAACGGCTTCAGCAAAAATATTCAAAAAATACAAGCCAAACGGAAGTTCCTTCCCCATCTCAACACTTTGAACCGACAAATTGGAATGAACTGGGTCAATAAGTTTGTTCGTACTATTATTTTCAGCCAAAACAAACTTCAGAAGAGCAACAGTGTAACTCAACGATGTATCCTGTAAATGATTTATAAAAATCGTTCCATTAGAAACCCTTTCCCCAAAATTTCTAAAGTAAGTCTCTAGTAAGGAGTTAACATGTCCAAACAGTTGCATGTCTTGTCCAACTGTAGTACTATGAAGCAAAACCACACCCTTTAGTAAATTCCTCTGTTTTAAGGACATGTTTTTTTCTAGATCAATAGAAGAATATTTGTAATTTTGTATAATGTCCATCAATGTCGACTTTAAAGAAGCTACAGAAGTTTTTGGGAGTTTACTTGGTAAAGAATTTAACAAGATCACTAGTATATCTGTGTATTCTGTACTGATAAGATTTACTAGACCCAGCTCTTGTGGAGTTAACACTAAATAAGCCACTAATTTATAAAATTCTTTTGTCCATATAGAGTTTGATTTACGACAAAGAAGTTCATTGTGAATTATAGCGTTATACAACTTTAGTATCGATAATATACACGCCGATTTCAATGTCACAAACATATCTTTGTCCAAGGTAGTAAACGTCCATGATTTTCTTGCAATTAAACTCAAACACGTACTTAAATCTGCTGTTTGTAGTTTTTCCAAAAACTTCTGCGTTTCGCTAAATACACCTTCGTCAAAATTAACTGTTTCTAAGTTGTTTTTGACAATAAACTTGTAGCCATCTAAGCAGCACAATAGATTACGAAGATAGTTTAGGAAATTGGCGCAATCGCAGTAGGATTGCTTGCTTAGAGACGAAAACTTGATCACCTTCACGTCATACAGATTCGCTACAGTAGTGTCTAAATGTTCTTCTATAAATTCGTGCAAGTTTACTTTACTTTCACTCGATAACGGAGCTATGTTTATGAATAATCCCATACAGGCTTCTCTGCAGTGTATGCTTCGACTTCCTGTTTGGTTCAGCAGCCATAGAGAGACGTCTGTAAGCACACCTTGGCCCAAATCATTCGGTACTCGGCGTTTTTTATCTTCTCTACGGAAAATCACAGGTTTTTCCATGATCACGCGTTGCAGGTGAGCAAGAGAACGTTTTAACTGAACAACAGTGGATGTTTCTTCAAGATCCAGTACGGAATCCAAACTCAGAACAAAAATATGTAAAATTTCCAACCAAAACACGTTCACTATCCGTTCTTCTTCTCTGAGCTCTCTGTAGGTGCTGTTAAAGATCAAGGCAGCACCTAGCTTTTTTATCGAATCAGGATGGCTGCTGAAGAAGCGCATATTTTTTATAAGAACTTTTATGCTGGATGTAGGATCCAGATTCTCGTGTTTTATGGTCCATTTGACGAATTCACTCAAGCATTTGCCGGAAAAGTCTTTGAGGTTTGAGTTGGTCGGGTGTGTTATTCCTTCCTAAAAAATATAACTTTATTTATTATTAGTTCCTAGAGAAGCTAAACAAAGTTTGCAAGTTGACAATATGATCGGAAAACCGTAAAAACTCAGGACTTCAGTTTCAATCGCTTTCTAGTTACGTTTGATGGCGCAGAAAATTATGTACGAAATAATGGAGCCTAGGGAAGAAGTAGATTAAGGTAGCAACAGTTGCCGGACGAGTAGGAGGATTGAGGACCCATGCAGATCTCGCAGAGAGGAGATATGATGAAGAAGAAAGCAGGCTAGAAGCGAACTACCGGAAAGACCAAAAACTCACCACGGTTTGTAGCTCTGAGTATTTACGTATTTATGTACATTAAAGTGAAGTAAGACGAAGTGAAATACAAGCAAAATATTATAATAAAAGTTCTATTTGGTGTATATAATCAATTTTTAAGTGTATTCAAATAATTCTAACAAAATATTGACTAATGCATACAGATGATGTTCATTGTCGCTTGTAAAACTGTAACAATGTACATCTCTTTATTCTTGATTTAATGAAAGCACTTTCTATCTCTGGTAATTGGTCGTGCGACCTTTCTACCAAACTGTTCTTTTATTAAACGTACATCATGGAAACTTGAGCTCTTTGAACAACTTTGATGACCTTCAGCGCCCTCAAATTTTGGTTTTTGGGGCATGTTCCCATTGAGACTTTTGTTCGGCACATCAAATACTACAACATGGCAAAATTTGGACAGATTTAACTGAGGGTATTTTTCCATAGGGTTTGTGGGGTGGGTCCTTTGAATGACAAACGTCATTTGTCGTCCTTCTTCATTATTTCCTTCTTGCTGACATCTATTTTACTTTCGCAGATCAACTCAGATTTCTTGTATCGTTCAACAGTTACATTAGACACTAATAAATGGAAACCGAAGTGTTTTATATCCAAATTCGAATGATAATCGTCATTTGTCGTCCTCCTCCATCATAAAGTTACTTGCTGACATCTATTTGACCTTTGCGGATCTATTTAGACTTGTTGTATAGTACAACAGTCACACTAGACACCAATAAATGGAAATCAGAGTGATCTATAACTGAATTTGAATGGCAAACGTCATTTGTCGTCTTCCTTCACCATTTGCTTCTTGCTAATATCTATTTGACCCTTGCGCATTAACTCAGATTTGTTATATAGTACACGAGTTAAATTAGTCGTAAATAATCGGAAATCAGAGTGTTTTATATCTAAATTTAAATGACAAACCTCATTCTTACATCAATTCGTTTTGAACCTTCGTCGCAGATCTCAGATTTGTTGTACAGTCAACAGTTACATAAGACAGAAAAAAAAATGAAAATCATATAGTTCTATACCCGAATTTGAATGGCAAACCGATATTTATATATTATTGATTTATTTGTACACATACCAGAAGCGTATCGATGATGATACTAGTATGCTTTCCACGGGCCTTAGGAGAGGTATACCAGTGAACTATCTGCAGGAACAAGGGCTGGAATATTTGTCTAACGACCTGGTCAATGTCACAGCTCAACAAGAGCAGTGGCGTAGCGATAGTTTTTAACATGTCGTTTAACTCTTCTAAACCTGCTGAGGACATTTGTTTGGCTAAAAAAAGTTTCCAAGATAATAAATTGCATCAAAAAAATGTAAAATGCCGATCTATTGATATATATATGTGCAAAAATAAGTAAAGGTATTCAAATGTGAGCAAAATTCTTGTTTCTAGCAATACTGAATATACTAGCGTGTCGTAAGATAAAATATATTTTAGAAATTATTAAATCGTAAAGCAAATTTATAAAAATAAATTATAAAGTACTTACCTCTGCCTAAAAACACCATCGCACAGGCCTGCAGCAATTCGCACGATGTAATTCTCGTTTTTCTATCGCTACTATACAGAGCCAAATCTATTATTCTCGGCAAAAACGTATCCAAATACACATCTAGTTGAATGTCGTAGGGTAAAGATACTTTCAAATGCGAACTTTGTCCGCTGATTAAATTTTTAACGAAAGTACTGTCGGAAAAGACGAAATTCTGACAAGTTTTGAAGCTCTGACGACCGATGAAGGATAGTATTTTTCTCTGCAGTTTTACTAGTTCGGGTTCGGTTTCCTCTAGAACTGTTCGTTTCTTTAAGGCTTTCATGGTTTTACGTCGTTTTTGGACAGGTTGAGTGCTGTAGCCTTTGAGAGATTTGCTGCGCAAGAAACTGTCCAAACTGTGGATTATTTTACCTATAACGAAAAACAATCCGTCCTGTATTATACATGTAAGTCAATTACTAGACAATCAAGTTAGTAAAAAATAAGCCTTTTTTTCGTTACAATTGTATAAAATGCAGATAACAAAAATAAAAACACAAATGCAGATAACAAAAAGAACAATAATGAATTAGCAGATAAACTATCAAATTTCCTAAACGAATTCAAAAATATGTTCTCTCGACTCTTAAACCAAAATATATAGCATGATTTTAACCATGTTAACTACAGTTACATTATAGTTACAGTTACAGTTACATTATAGGCGACTTCAATGCCAAATTAGGGAGAAAACTAGAAGAATCAGAAAATAAAATCGGCAACTTTGGATATGGAACACGAAACGAAAGAGGAGAAACATTAATGAACTATATGGAAACGAACAGTCTATATGCGATGAATACCTTTTTCAATAAAAAACCACAGAGAAAATGGACGTGGGTCGCGCCCAATGGTTTAACAAAAAATGAGATTGATTACATCCTATCCAAAGAAAAGAGCATAGTACAAGACGTTACGGTCATAAACATGATTTCCGTAGGAAGTGATCACAGAATTGTTAGAGCCAAAATCAAAATTAACTCCACAACAGACAGACAAAAATTTAAACCATCTAAAAAAGAGATAGATACAGAACTTCTTTAAGAACGCAAAGAACAATACATAAACCAGCTAAAAAGAAGTGACATATCACAGCTAAAGGGTCTGCAACTAGACGAATTAAACGATAAAATAACAACAGAACTACTAGAAGCAGGCCTGAAGATTGCTAATAAACAAAAGCGAAAACAACAAAAAATTAGCGCTAAATCACAAGATATGCTAAAAAAACGACGACAACTACTGAATGATAACAAAAGAAATACAGTGGAGTATACCGAACTGAATAAAACCATAAGAAAACAGATAAAGGAAGATTTAAAGAAATACCAAGAAGACCGCATTAAGAAAATCATAGAGAAGAACAAAAGTTTAAACAAAATGAAGACAAATATAGGAAAAAGAAAACTAATCATGCTTAAAGCTGAGAACAATGAAGAAAGAGATCTAGGAGAAATAGTAAAAATCACAGAAAGATATTACACAGACCTATACAGTTCTAAAAATGACCCACCACTATTATCTAAACAGAATCTCACGAGGAAAATACAAAATGTTGGCTCAGAGGTATTACCAGAAATAACTGAAGATGAAATTGAAAAATCCATAAACGACATGAAAAGAAATAAAGCGGCCGGTGAGGACAAAATACTGGCGGAACTGCTAAAAGAAGGAGGAGACACGATAAAAAAAATGCTAAAAATACTGTTCAACAAATGCCTGTTTGAAGGTAAAATACCCAAACAATGGAGAAATGCCAACACAATCTTAATACATAAGAAAGGAGACCGAACAGACCTAAACAACTACCGTCCTATTTCCCTTTTGTCACAACTATATAAAACCTTCACAAGAATAATAAACAACCGACTAACCTATAAACTTGATAAGTACCAACCAGTGGAACAGGCCGGATTCAGAAAAGGCTACAGCACAATCGACCATCTACATACGCTTAAAATCTTAATTGAGAAAACCAATGAATACAACCTTCCGCTGTACTTAGCATTCGTAGATTATGAAAAGGCTTTCGACAGCATTGAACACTGGGCGGTTGAAGAAGCTCTGGTCAATAGTGGAATAGATTCAAGATACCGACAATTGATACATGATATTTACCAAAACGCAACCATGACCGTAATTCTGGACGACAAATTAATAACGGATAATATAAAAGTTAAACGAGGAGTCCGACAAGGCGATATAATTTCACCTAAACTGTTTACCTTAACCCTCGAAGACATAATAAAATCAACAGATTGGGAAAACAGAGGAATAATATGTATTAACGGAAAATACCTAAATCACCTTAGATATGCGGATGATATACTCCTGATCTCCTCGGAACGACAAGAACTGGAATTAATGCTGAATGAACTTCATGAAAAATCACTGCAAAAAGGCCTAAAAATTAACTTCATCAAAACAAAAGTAATGACAAACACGGAAGACCAAGAGGCAATAAAAATAAAAACAGAAAAAATAGAACAGGTAAATGAGTATATCTATCTAGGACAAGCAATCAGAGCTAATAGAGAAAATCAAACAGCCGAAATATCGAGACGAGTAAGAATGGGATGGGCAGCGTTCGGCAAACTTTCTTACGTTCTAAAGAATCAAACAATCACTCTATACTTACGAAGCAAGGTATATAACTCCTGTATCATACCGGTGCTCACCTACGAAGCACAGACATGGACATTTACACAGGCCAATTTGGATAGGATAAGGAAGGCACAAAGAGCGATGGAGAGACAAATGTTGGGTGTATTACT